CCCATATAATGTGTGATGTATGAGTGAAGTTTGAACTCAATCGGTCCATGCATGTTCGAGATACAGGTGATCACGGACGCACGGACGCACGGACGCACACAGGGCAAAACATAAGTCCCCGTTTTCGGACTGCGTCCGAACGGGGACTAACAAATGGGTATAAGTAAAGTGGCGTTTCCCCAGATTTGATGCAGTATGTGAGGTGAGGTAGTATAATTGCATTGTAAAGTAACACAAGGACTGCTCTCAGAACATAATGGCAGATATGTGAAATCATACCAACTTTGTGACATTACTTTTTCTATGTGTGATTTCAACGTCACAGACAGCAAAATCGCCCTAAATAGGTGAACTATCTAATTGTAGTTTGCTTTGAATAGTAATTGATTTGGAGAGAGTTTTAAAGACTAAGTATATAATTTGTTTTTCTCTATACCAGTCAGACACCTTTGCTAAATCGTCATTAATAGAGTTTCAGTTTACATGGTGACTTTCTTTTCATTTAAATAGGCCAGTATTATCAGCAAAATGTCGAAAGTAAAAATAGTCTGTTGATTTATTAATGTTCTTGATGTAGATAAGGAAGAGTAACGGGCCCAAGATAGATTATTGGGGAACACTGCACTTGACCGATTTAAGAGATGACATGCAACAAATGGTGATAGTGACAACTGAGAAAATGTAAATTATGTGGATTAACCACAGTCCCTCTATCACCAGTTTAGAAACAACTAATAGAGGGACTGTGACAACATTAAATATAGCTGCATAGCAGCGATGACGGGTTTCGAGCCTGCGTGGCTCATGGCAAATTGCACTTGCTCGATGTGATTATTTGACGAATGTTTCATGTCTAGAATGCAAGATAGCAGACAAACTACACAATATATGGATTTGATTTCACAGGAATATAATAAACTTAATGCAAGGATTCCACATACCGAATTTTGTATCAGTCAGGCAAATAGTTCATGTGTTATAGAACTTTTTCTCTTTTACTAAATCCAAGATGGCTGCCAATGGAAGCCATTTTTTCAATAATCAGTTTCAGTAACTTTGTAGAGCTATCAACATAGGTGCCATATTCTAAATTACTTGTCAAACAAGCGGGCAGTTTTTAAGAAGATAATTTTTTGAGGTTTTTTGCATTATTTCGATAAATTCAAAATGGCCGCCAAAACCACTTGAATCATGGGAAAATTTTTCATGAACACATAATCATCTTACTGAATGGATGTTGTATGCCAAGTTTGGTTTACATCTGGCAAATTGTTCACGAGTTATAGCATAATTTCACTTTTTACTAAATCCAAGATGGCTGCCAAAAGAAGCCATTTTTCAAAAATCTGCTTCAGTAACTTTGTAGAGCTATCAACAAAGATACTATATGCTAAATTGATTGTCAAACAAGCAAGCAGTTTTAAAGAAGATAATTTTTTGAGATTTTTTGCATTTTTGTGATAAATTCAACATGGCCACCAAAACCACTTGAACCATGGGAAATATTTTCATGAACACATAATCATCTTATTGAGCGGATGTTGTATGCCGAGTTTTGTTTAAATCTGGCAAATTATTCATAAGTTTTAGCGTAATTTTGCTTTTTACTAAATCCAAGATGGCTGCCAAGGGAAGCCATTTTTTGAAAATCTGCTTCAGTGACTTTGTAGAGCTATCAACAGTGATACTATATGTCAAACAAGCAAGCAGTTTTTAAGAAGATAATTTTTTGAGGTTTTTTTCATTTTTTTGATAAATTCAAGATGGCCGCCAAAACCACTTGATTCATGGGAAATATTTTCATGAACACATACTCATCTTATCGAAGGGATGTTGTATGCCAACTTTGGTGTCAATCTGGCAAATTGTTCATGAGTTATAGCGTACTTTCAGTTTTTACTAAATCTAAGATGGCTGCCAAAGGAAGC